AACTTATTAACATTATTCAACTCAGATGAATTCACAAACGAAGCTTTAACATTAGCATCTAACTCTGACTCCAATAGGGAATTAGAATTAATATTCCCAAACCCATTAACGAAAATCTTCATTATTGAAGAAGAGGTAGGGCGAATTATTATGGACGTCCGGTATCTGACGTCCGAACATCCAATCCGGATGTGCCATGTCACCCAAATACACCGGAATCCAGTGCATTTGGGTGACGTAGCGCCTCTCAATTGGTGTCCGGACGAATCCGGACACCGGACATAATAATTTGCCAAGAGGTAAGGCTTCAGAATCATTAGCAACCTTAAAGTCATCATTTTTAAATTTAAAACCCTCAGCAGAAACTCAGCTTTTGAAAGGAATTTCATCCACAATGCATTTAGCGTTACCAATAACAGAAACAGGAACATTATTCTTAAATGACAAAGAAACTGGCTGATGGAATCGAGGATCTGCAAAGGGAAAACCAGCAAGCAAGCAAGAACACAAAAATAGGGGAAAGAAGTAAAAGGCTTCAAAGGCCTGTATATTAAGCTTGAAATCGTTCAAGGTTCTGAAACAGCAAAAACTACGCTTCCTCTATCTGTGTCTCCTTTATATAATTTCCTTCCCTGTAGCTATAACCAACCTTTTGCTAAAAAAAGTGTAACATAAGAAAAAGGGAAAAGTGTACCAGTGAAACGGAAAAGGTACTAAGGAAGTGGAAACTAAAAACAGTGGTATGATGAACCTCCGAGAGCTGATAGGATAAACGAAACTGCATCACTGGCTCTTTAATTACCAAAGGTGATTCCAATTTCCTTTTGTTTACTGAAAGAAGATCCATCGGAAACCACCAACGAACGTGCATTATTTGAAACCACAGAAGCTTTGATATCAAACTTTGATCGAAAGCCAGTCGGAGCACCAACAGCAAATGGCCGGCGACATCTGCCGCCATAAGCGAATAAACCGCAGAAAAGGCGGATTGACATAATTTGAAAAAACAGGAATTTCTATCTAGAAAAAACCAAGTTCTCTTAAGTAATTTTCCTCAAGATTTTAAAAAGAGAGATAAAGTGAAGCCAAAAATAATAACACATAGGATTTAATGTTTATTGTGCATTGATTAAAATAGCTTCATAATAATAAAGAATGCTGGTAGAGAAAGGATATTTTATAACTAGCTAGTCATCATATTTAAATCCAAAAGTTATGCTTTACTTTGTCTTCTTGGTGCAGCTATGCTTGAAGAATACGTTTTCCTCTCCTTATAGTCCATACTCAGAAGATGTGTTCAGAATAAAAGAATAAAAAAATTCTTATCCATGGAGGCACAATTTAAATGCTAATGTTTCTCCAATTTTAGTTAATTAAGACTTCATTTTGGATGACTTTCTTATTATTTCATAAATTAAATTTTTAGTACATAAATTTTAATTTTTGAACTAAAAAATTACTTTAATAAACAGTCAGAAAGTCATCTCAAATGAAGCCTTAAACCTGTCATTAAAAAATTGACAAACTCCAACAACTTAACTGGGTAAAAGAGATTTGTTGGTCAACCTAAGCAGGAAAATTGGAATCATGAAGGAAGAAGACTTTACCTAAGATTGGTTGGTAAGCTTCATAATGATTCTATATTTTTAGTAACATAAAAGTTGGGAGTTTTTAAAATGTTGAAAGTCTACTTAGTAGTGCTGCAGATGTTTGTAAATAAAGTTTGGGAGTGTAAAGCGAAAGCAATTTTTTAAAAATTATTATGAATATTATATTTTTTTTTATGATTAAGGTCTCATTTGGAGCCGCTTTTTTATTAATTTCTAAATCAATATTTTAGTATAAAATTTTATAGTTCAAAACATTTTGTACTAAAAAATTATTTTAAAAAACAGATAAATGATGTCCGAAACCAAGCCTAAAAAGTTGAATAATAACATTCTTATAGTTAACACACCACAAATCTGATCATTAAAAACTAATTCTTATCATAGAAATTTCTGATAAAACTTTGAAACTTATAACCAAAAAATAATATAAAAATAATTGGAAATACAACATTGAAAAAATAATTCCAATAAAACCTCATGCTTTTGAGAAATTATTACGAGCTTGTCCACCTTGTGTACAACTTGTATATAGGGGTGTCAATTTTTGACACGACACGAAACCCGACCTGAACCCGATCCGAAAAAATCCGAGTTCAGGTCAACCCAAAACCGAAACGGGTCGGGTTCGGGTTGAAGTAATCAACCCGTTTTAAAAATCGGGTCGGGTTCGGGTTGACACGGAAACACGAAATTGACCCGAAAGTGACACGAAAACTCATATTTGACCCGAAAATCCGAGTTTGACCCTATTTTGACCCGATTTTGACCCGAAAAACGAAGATTGGCCCGATTTTTGACCCGAAAACTAGCCATTTTGGGTCAATTTCGTGTCATTCGTGTCGGGTCGGGTTGACCCGGACCCGAATCGGGTCGGGTTCGGGTCCGGAAACCTGACCCGTTTTTAAAAATGGGTCGAGTTCGGGTTGACCCGAACAGTGACGGGTCAGTTCCGAGTTCGACCCGAACCCGACCCGTTGACCCGAATTGACACCCCTACTTGTATATATTGAAATTCGGATGCATTCGGACCACACGTAATAATTTTTTCTCATAAGTTTTGTTTGAGACAACTTTCTTATTATTTTATTTTTTAAACAACCATCATAATTTTGATTTGGCCACTGCTTTTAAAAATTTTTTGTATTAGAAAATTACTCTATAAAATTACTCTCTACAACAATTTTATAAAATTGTAAGAAAATATCACAAACAAAACCTTAATTTTCCACCTACTACTAATCTCCTACTTCACAAAACATATAAAGACATTTGCACTCAACAAGAAAATAAGAAATAAAGAACCATAAGCTTAACAAGCAAAAAGGCCAAGGAAATATATTTACATTGGGCTGCTACCGTCGCTCATTGGCCGGTCTGCCACTATTACACACCAACATCCATCAGCACATTTGAATAAATAATTTATTCGATATTTAAAATATATATATTTTCTAAGATATTAAAACTATCTATTTTATATTAAAAAAATTTAGAAATGATCACAAATGACCCTTAAACTTGCATAACATGTATTCAAGGGCCATAAGAATTAATACATCCACCTTCAGCAGTATTAGAGACTTTGGAATTAAGATCAACAGAATTTGGACTACCCCCAATAGAAGAACCTATTTTGCCATCTGAATAATTCTTCAAACAATCATTAACTTTGTGATCAATCCTTCCACCCTTAAAATAGAATGAAGATATTTTCTGGTATTCAAATTTTTGGAAAAAATGAACTGATAATCCTTCCACCCAAACTCCCAATGAAAGCTGGCTATCAAGTTTATTAACACGAACACAAATCCTTGCATACTCTCTTCTTCACATTGAAACATGTTACCATCATCAAAACAGGAGTACCAACTCTAGAAGCAATCCTTGCAACATTTATCTCATCCCAACAATACAATGATAATTGATGCATTCAAATCTATTTTGGAGATGACAATCCCTTCAATGATGTAGGAGAAAAATTAGGAGACCATTTATCAATACAAATTATATGCCCACTCACGTACCAGGGTCCCCCCATTAGCACAACTTCCATAGCTTCGAAAGATTGAAAAGAGCATAAACCCCAACCAAAACCCAAAATAGTAAGAGGAAGAAGCTCCTCCTAGACCACCGACGGAACCTCGCCGGATCACCACAGGAGCTCGCCGGACCACCTCCGAAACCTCGCCGGACTACCACCGGAACCTCGCCGGACCACCACATGAGCTCGCCGGACTACCACCGGAACCTCGCCGGACTACCACCGGAACCTCGCCGGACCACCACATGAGCTCGCCGGACTACCACCGGAACCTCGCCGGACCACCACATGAGCTCGCCGGACTACCACCGGAACCTCGCCGGACCACCACATGAGCTCGCCGGACTACCACCGGAACCTCGCCGGACTACCACCGGAACCTCGCCGGACCACCACCGGAGCTCGCCGGACCACCGTCGGAACCTCGCCGAACCATTGTCGAAGCTTCGTTGCACCACCACCTCAAGGCTCGAAGTTCAGGCCCGACGTTCAGGCCCGACGTTCTGCTGAAGGCCGACGTTCAGGCCCGATGTTCTACTCAAGGCCCGACATTCTGCTGAAGGCCCAACGTTCTGCTCAAGGCCCGACATTCTGCTGAAGGCCCAACTTTCTGCTCAAAGCCCGACGTTCAGGCCCGACGTTCTGCTGAAGGCCCGACATTCTGCTGAAGGCCCAACGTTCTGCTCAAAGCCCGACGTTCAGGCTCGACATTCAGGCCCAACATTCTGCTCAAGGCCCGACGTTCTGCTCAAGGCAAAACTACCAACTAACACCCGAACTTCCAGGTGACGCCTGGGTACTGTCCGACAATCAAGTGACGCCGGGTTTAACACCAGACTTCTATCGAACAGTTGCTAGTTGTATTCTGATCGCCCTTGGAAGCGATTCAGCCCTTTGTAACCTACTCAAATTCTAGTGGAATCATTTTCAATTGGGCTAGGCCCCGTGGTTTTTCCCCTTTTTAAGGGTTTTCCACGTAAAAAATCTTGTGTTCTTTGTGTGTAAGCTAGCTATCCGTATAACGCTAAGACGCAAAATAATAACTTTATCGCCGCATATATTCTAGCCCGCAACAAAACTAATAGTCTAAAATCCAAGATTACATTGTATTCTTTCGATATCTAGATTATTATTACTCTATCATAATATGATGTTCTGTTTCGAGCTCATGTTGAACTTCTTATATGTTATGGAGTTATCTAGAATTTATAATAATTTTATTAATATAATTCAGTGCTTTTTTTGTATTTAAATATCTAACTGTCATAAATCTTAAAACTAAAATTAAAAATTTAATATTTATCGTTCAAATAATTTTTACTGAATCCAAATTTACAGAATTGACTAAATCTCAAACCCCTGACACTCTTTCAGTGCTAATAAGCATTAGGTGAATGGCCACCTTTCCCCTCAAAACTTTTCTTTTCTTTCACACAATGCAGTATTTTACCTTCCTCACAGTGCAGTAGAAGCAAAGAAACCAAGTCCTCTCCTGATCACAACATCAAATATGATCTCCTCTCCGCCCTCTAGTCTTCAAGCCCCTTCGTTAACCAATGGAAAGAGGAGCATCCTCATCCCTGACCATTATGACCTCCTCCCGATCGGAAGTTGACACCCGCCGCCCTTTCCGGTCGGTGAAAGAGGCGGTCGCCGTCTTCGGCGAGCGCCTTCTCTCCGGAGAAGCCTATTCTCAGAACACCAGCTCAAGCCTTAAGCCCGAGCATCCACCTCCAAAGCCTCAATACTCGCCTCCTTCTCCTTCTTATTCCACGTCCTCTTCCAGATTCAACCAAGACAGAGATGACGAGTTGAATATAATTCTAAGCACAATGAAGAAACTGGAGTCGGAGCTCAAAGAAACCAAGCGCGAGGTAACTTTTCTTAAGCAAAGGGGTTCAGAGACAGAGATCGCAGTCGCCTCACTGAACGCAGAGCTCCATAAGAGCAAAGCGAAGCTTGCCGAGATGGAAGCGGCTAGTGGTGTTTTCATGGAAGAGGAGAAAAATTTGAAAGTGGGAAGTGACCGTTGGGGTGTTGAGGAGGAGGAAATCATGGAGGTGAAGTATGAGTACTTTCCATCTTTGGCTGGGGCTCTGAGGCTTGGAGAGGCTGATGCTGCTGAGGTTACTAGAAGGAGAAGGGCGAACGTTATGAAGAAGAAGAAGAAGAAGCCTATCGTTCCTCTGATTGGAGACTTGTTTAAGAGGAAGAAAGATTCTGGAAAGATGGGGGATTCTCTCTACAGCAAGTCTTATTTCAGTGTAGTGTCTTCAGATGCCTGAGCAGGGGACATAATCGCGTCTTAGCTCCGTTTTAATAAACGAACATTTTATCAAAATTATAATAATTTTATATAAATATATGAATCTCCCAATGTATTTTTTAAAAGTGGAGATGATTGAAGTTTGTATTATGGTGACTTTTTGTTGTTTTTTTGTAAGTGTGATTGAAGTTGGTATGTATATATTATTTGTGATGAAGCGGATCCAAAGGAAGAAGATGATTCAAGAATAAAAAAATCAGGAAATCAAATAACAAGCTCAAAAGAGCATAATATTCTTCATATCAATTCATCTCTATAATTCATTACATCTGCTATATGTAATATAGCAAAAGAAGTTTTAGAAATTAAAGTTAATCTTGACATAAGCTCTATTATAGCTAAGATGTTCCACATCACACTTCCCTCGTGTCAAAAGAGCTCGACTAAGTCAAAGTGCATTATGGAGAGTGAGATAGGTGTAGAATCATAAGCAATCCTCCTGGACCAAATATTTTGCTTCTTCGATGCATGTCTGCAAGCTTTTATTCATATGAGTATATGTTTCCAATGTTCAGCCAATGCAATTTCCAACGAATCGGTTAAATCTCCCTCCTAAAGGTCCAACCAACAAGCCATCTTGTAAGCATCTTATTATACTACCCTCAACCCTTCGACAACCAGAAAAAGTGTCAACTAAACTCATGTCCTTAAGTAATATCTCAATAGCACTTGACCTCTCAAAAATAGTAACAACATAGGTCTTATTGATAAACTGAATATCAGAATCTTCTGCAAAAGTTGAATGAATTTGCAGGAGATAATGTTTTAGCTCTACAGTAGAAGTTGTAGTTATTAATTCATCGTAATTGATAGTTCCATTTCCATCTACATTAGCGGCTTCCAATAGTTGTTTAACATTTGCTTCATAAAGCTTTGTTCCTTACTTTAGCAGCCCTTGCCTTATCTCTTCATCTGTTATGGTCCCAATGTTATCAGTATCAAAGTTCTTGAAAATATCTTTAAGGCCCCTAATATCATCATAAGATAAACATCCTACATTGACCCGCAAAGCAACTTGCTTGAACTTGTTCAGTTGTCTCAATTTCTTTATCCTATTGAGAACAATTTTGTCAAGAGGTGTATCTGGTGCTTCTCCATCTTATTTAATCCATGGATGGTTGAGAATGTCAAATATTGTTAACCTATTCTATGAGTCTTTGCAAAGCATCCCCTTGACAAGATTCTTCGGACCGTCTGATATGATGAAGATCCTTGGCTTCAACATACAAGATTCACAACATGAACAAGAGAAGATGAGGAAGAAAGTAGGCAAGAAAATTAGAGAACTTTGCTAGTTTAGTAAATCATTATCATCCCACCTCTACACAGCAGCTACAATAGAGCATATATAAGGTTGTTTGTTACAAAGCAATGGTGCTGATTAAATCAACAGAAATCAAACGATAATGTTGAAAATGGTTTATGGTACAAAGCAGAGAATGTGGAGGTGGTAGTGCAACGTGAGTCGACTTATGCATAAGGAAGTTTACATATCAGGTATACTTATCAGCCCCCTCAAGTTAATAGATGGTGATCAAATTTTAATTTGTCTCGAAGGTGAAGAAATCAAACCACAATAAGAGACTTGTAAAAATATCACCTGGTTGATCTTGTGCTGAAATATGATGAACTGAAATGTGTTGTGAGCGAATCTAGTCTCGAATGAAGTGAAAATCAATATCAATATGTTTAGGTCGGACATTAAATATTGGGTTATTGGCTAAAGCAAGATCAAAGACATTATCACAATAGTGTTTTGTGGGAGCTGTGAGAGGAACTTGGAATTCACTGAGAAGACTATGAAGCCAAATGAGATCACAAGCCACTGTGGATATGGCTCTATACTCAGCTTCAGTTGATGATCTAGCAATCAAATTTTTTTTCTTGACCATCCAAGGTATTAGTATAGTACCAAGAAAAACACAGTAACCAGTAAATGAGTACCGATCTATTTTATCATAAGCCTAGTCAGAGTCAGCAAATGTTGTTAATTGCAAAGTGGATCGAGTAATCGGTAGGCCAAGGTGAAGAGAGCTCTGAACATAGTGAAGCACATGTTTCTATAGTTGGAAATGTATAGTTTATGATTTATGCATGAGTTGGCATAGGAAATTGATAGCAAATAGCAAATCTTGATGGGTGATGGAAAAATATTAGAGCTATCCAACGATTTGGCGATAAAAATCTGGGCAAGAGTAAGGTATGGAATTCTGAACTGTAGTATGTAGATTTGCTGGCAAAGGAGTGAGCACCGATTTGCATTCTAACATGGCTACTTTATTGAGAATTTCTTTTGCATAGTAAGACATGTTTAAATGAATGTCATAGAATGTGTATGATGCTTGCAATCCAAGAAATTGATTAAATTTGCTAAGATTTCTCATAGAGTAGACTTAATTGCAATAATCAATTTGTTGATTTCAGTTTGAGAGTTTTCAGTTAACAATATGAATCAACATACACTAGCATATATAATTGAATGTAATCGTGATGAAGTAATAACAGAGAAGGGGTGAGGAGATAGGAGGAGAAAGTACCAAACCATTGTCTCGGAGACTGCTTGAGACCATAAATAGCTTTTTGTAAGAGACAAACATGTTGTGGGAATTGAGAATCCATAAAACCAGCCATTGTTTCATATAAACCGTCTCATTTAAAGTGCCATGGAGAATAGCATTAGACACATCTAACTACAAAATAGACCAGTGATTCGTAACAACAACTGTTTGCAAAATGTGAATGGTAGCAAATTTTGCAACTAGGCTAAATGTTTCAAGATGGTCTAGACTGTGTTCTTGTTTGAACCCTTGAGCTACAAGTCTTTCTTTGTAGAGAGCAAAGGAGCCATCCGAATTATATTTCATTTTGAATATCCATTTACAACCCAAAATATTCTGACTAGGATCATAGGAACTAATATCCAAGTGCGCTATTTTTGTAATGCTTCAAATTCATTACTTATAAATGTCCTCCAAGATGGATACTTAGATGCTTGAGTAAATCCAGTAGAGTTGGTAGGTATAATAGTGTGCTCGAGATCAAGAATTTGTTCTTGATGTCTGAGAGGTATTGGAACTTTTTTTTATCACCAAATTGTAGTTGATGTAGTTCACCATTGAGTTGAAGAAGCCAGGAACAGTTGGAGGATCGTAACCAGCATTCAAGCGTTAATCAAATCTTGTGAGTGGAATCAAGATTAATTATATATGGCAGTAATGAGGGCGAAATAGTAGAATAAATAGCTAAAGCTAAATGCTGATCAATAAGCATCCAGGAAGTAAAGAGAGGATTAATCACACTAGTACCATCAGAGGAGGTAATCTTTTTTTGTCGGCTTTACTTTAGATCACGTAAGATGGCCTTCAAAATTGTTTGTAGTGAACATTTTTAAGAGTTGAGATTTTCATATAAGGTGGTTTTCAGAGGTTAGTTGTAACTGTAACCATCGTCTTCACATTGGACATGAAAAACTTTAGCCGCGGTGGGATGGAAATCTCAGCAGGGGAGCAAGTAGAGTTGGATGTATCCATCAGAGAGGTGGTAGATGAAGTAGACATAAGAGAAGATAAGGATGCTTTGAAAAAAAAATTGGCCTATGGCTCTGATACCATGATGAAGATCGTCGGCTTCAACATCTAAGATTCATAGAAGAAACAAGAGAAGAGGAGGAAGATAACAAGCAAGAAGATTAAAGAACTTTGCTACTTCAACAAATCATTATTACCCCACCTCTACACAGTAGATATAGTAGATCACATATAAGGTAGTTAGTTACAAAGCAATGGTGTTGATTAAATTAGTAGAAATCAAACTGTAATGACGAAAAAGTATTCTGTTACAAAGTAGAGAATGTGGAGGTGGTAGTGTAAGGTGAGTTGACTTATGCATAAGGAGGTTTACATATCAGGTATACTTATAATTATATACTTGGCCAAGTTTCACTCTTCAAATTGACCAATGTATTGAGGATAGCCTTGAAACTTCAACGCTTAGACTTTAACTAGAAAGGGGGAACAACGCACAAGAGAATGTAAAGCATAACACCAATATTCCATATATCAACTTCCGGTTCATATTTCCTTTTTGGTACTTCAGGAAAAATATAATAAGCAATGCTAGCTATACCTTTGAGAACCTCTCCGGTCTTGACGAAAATAGAGTCCAACATCAGTTGCTTGGAGAGGAGTATCTTCTTCTTTATTAAGCAAGAGAATGTTTTCTGGTTTGAAGTTTGATGTCGGGGATCGAGAAGGGGTAGAAAACAAACTGGGAAGCTCGAAGGTTCCAGAGGTGAGATTTGATTTGAGGTAGATGGTCTCGTAAGTGTCAATGAGAGACATCATGGATGGCATACAGAAGAGGTGATGTGGAAGGCGGAGGCAGGCTCATGGATTATGAGCGAGTTGGAGGCCAGGCGTGGGGATCGAGATGGGTGACCATGGGAATAGAGTGGGATCATATGAACGAAGTGGGAGTGAGGACAAAATCAAGCTGGAGTGAGGGGATGTATTGGGTAGATCATAGATAGACCACTGACAGAATAACTACATATGTACTTCTGGGCTCCAATGGCCTTCTGAGTTCTTGGAGCTTAAACCATAGTATAGAGAAGGAAAATTCCGAGGAGGATACTTCTCACTAATGATTTTGTAAAATGGCTTTTTAGTGGCTTCGTGTAACAACTTGAAAAAGGTAAATAATATTTGAAAATTTTGGCTTGAACCCATTAACATATGTTATGAAGTGTTTTAATGCTTGAAAAATGTTTGGGTGTGCTCTAAAATGAGTCTCAAGTGTTGCATGCGAATTTCAGCAAAATCCGATAATGTCACTTTTGGAGCACCCCAATGCCACATGTTCGAGCACCACAGTGTTGCACTCAGCCAAGGTGTTAGAAAGTGATATTACGGCCCTAGCTCTCGAATTATTATAAATTTTTGATAGCCTAAATGGTTAAAAATGAGCACCACAATGCTACGCCATTATGAGAATTTTTATATAGTTTAAAATCTATTTTCTCAGATCATTTGAGCACTGAGCTAGTCAAAGAGGAGAGAGAAAGAGAGGGTTTTTAGAGAGAGAAAGTTCATATTTTAGTTGCTTCACCATTTTTAGTTGTCAGGCCAGTTGGGAAAGTTATCTGGAGC